AAAAAGATTTTGAATGGATTATTAATTAGTTATTATGAAAGAGTTTTGAGGGAACCGCTTCACGGCCTTGTACTGAATGGTAAGCTGTAGCCATTGTTTTGCTGCCTTGCCTTTGAGCGACTGTTCCAGGATTTTTGGTATTGAGTATTCCAAGCATTTGCATTTCCTCGAAATCAAAGAGCACACAAACGGGTGCTAGTGCTGGTGCGAGTACGAGTGGCCATGGATTGTATCGATTCATAATGCCATTTAATGAGACACTCAAGCTAACTTCCACTATGCCACACACACAGCCACACACATTAAGTAGCAGCATGCCCCCGACCCAGCTGTTGGGATCCCTTAGTAGGTGAGTCTTCACTTTGACTCCGTCTTTGGCAATAGTTGGCAGGATACTTGGCACCGGGTACTTGGCGTATACGTGATGTAACAGTGCTCAGGCCATGAATCTGTTATGGTAACCATATTTGAATTTGCTGCTAAGTGCGATTTGTGTTGCTTCAATGACACCCTTTCAGCGGGCATCATGATTTCAGCTCAAACTGTAGCCATGCTCGGCACAGATCTTTCCCAAAAAGGATCATAGACTGCCACATACTACATATACAGAAGTATTCCAATTTTCAGTTACCAACAAGCAAAAAATTCTTTAGTTTCATTCTCGAAAAGAGCAAACAATAAAAAAAGGTTGTATAGAGCGTAGAGGTTAGTGGCATTGCTCACGCACTTTACCGGTTGACGGTGAACAGTAAACAAGTAAAAAACATTTCCATTTAGCACACACACACACAGACATACTCGTACAAGGAAAACATACTCCGACAGAGAGGCAGAGAGAGAGAGAGACACTCACTGTACGTATTTGTATTTGTATTTGCCATGTTTTTAATCCACTTGAAGGCACTTAAGGCAGATCACTGCCAAGCGTAAATGTGCCAACTGTAGCAGCACTAGGACTGGGACTAGGACTAGGACCTGCCTGTACGGTGGCTGGCGGGGCCAAGCAAATTGTGCAAGCTGCCAACCGCCACACACTACCCACCACCCACCACCCACTACCTACTGCGTCCTGCGTCCTGAATGTGTAGCGTATGGGCATGAGAGTGAGTGCTATCAGCTTGTTCAAATTCATAATTCCGATAAAAAAACAAAACAAAACGAAACGAAACGAAGGAAGGAAAACTAGGAACAAGAAAGACAACTAAAGCGGGAAAAGCAGGGAAATACCCTAGAAGAGACTGAGACACGGTGCTCACTTCACCCATATGCCACGTGGATACCCTTTAGGTGGTGGGTGGGTGCGTGGGGGGTGGGAGCTATGAATATAAAACAATGTATCATTCGGAAGAGCAGTAATAACAACTAAACCAATGGCAAGTGGCAGCGACAGCGACAGCACTCGCCGACTGTCTCAGCCATGGGTCGTTGTTGTTACCAAGCGATGGAAGAGCACGGGAGTCGAGTGTGGCAACAGCATATAGGAACATTTGGACGGAACCTACCGGATATTGAGACGCGTAGTAGAGGAGAGTCGCGGGTTCAGTCACCGCCAGGAGGAACTCCCCGCGATCGTCCAAAAGCAACGACAGCTTCGCTATGAGATGTAAATTTTTGTTTGGGAATCTTAAAAAGTCTGATTGATCCGCTCATCCTTTATGAAGAGCGCAAACTTGTGTGCTTTTATGGGCCTGCTGGGACGTGGCACCGGCTCTGCTTGGTCCACGCCGAGCGAGTTGCATCCTTTGCATTCGCAATTCGCGTTTCTTCGCCTTCGCTTTGTGTGTTTCTGATTGACCAAATTGATGTCCTTGACGGAATGCAATTTGTAAAGTATCCAAAGCAATCGCATTGCAGTCTTCCGACTTGCACGGCATTCAGCAGCTGCAACTTTCTAGCATGCCATCAACTTCAACCCGTCCAGTCCATTGGTTTGGCTCCACTCAAGCCGTTTAACATTGCTCAAGCAGAAGACGCGCTGCAGACGGGGTGGGGTGGGGGGTGAAAGTGGCAATAAAACAATTTACACTTGAGGCACAGCAGGTTTTATTTGCTCTGTCTTCCTCTGTCCTCAGTCTTTCCTTCTTTCCTGCTCTCCTGCTTGCCTGCTGAAAAATCAAACAGGAATAAAAACAAAAACTCGGCTGTCAAGCTAATTTGTTACAACAAAGACCGAGGTGAGCCGTAACGGGGGTCCTCCCACTGTGCAGCACTCTTTCACACCTGAGCGAATGCATTGCCAGGTTGACTGCCTGCCTGGCCCGCGCGCTTTGGCGATTTGTTCGGTGGCAGTTTCGGGGCTGGTGGCGTCTGTGAGTCTGTTGTGGTTTCTACAACAGGCAACAAGGTGTTCCATCTGGTTGCGTGTGGCATGAGTGTGTGTGTGTGTGTGTGTGTGTGTGCTGTACGGGTACATATACTCGTACATACATTTAATGGCAGCTTGCTTCTGTGTCATTCGAGCAACTTTGTCCTCGCCTCGCCTTTCCTTGGCTTTTCCTTTTGCTACAGCCAAAACTTGTTTCATTTTCCACATACTTGGACGCATGTAACGGGCCAAAATGTATCTGTGTGTGTGTGTGTGTGTGTGTCGTATCTCGTTTCACGGCGCACGAAGCATGAAAAGCCCCTTGCCACCGTCACCGTCAGCGTCATCGTCACCGCCATCATCATCATCAATCGCGACCGCGCTTTCCCTTCATCTGTTACTAAATATGTAAGGGTACCAAAAAACACCGAAAATCCCACCCGCAAAAATAAATTTAGCTGTCAACAAAATTGTTGGCTTCAGTTTTGGTTTCTGTTTCAGTTTCTGTCTCCTTTTTTTTAGTGGATATCCATGTGTGTGTGTGTGTGGCCACACTAAAGTCTCGAAAAAGTCTTGCAAATATTTGTCTCGAAATATTGCGCATTTTATTATTGACAGGGCAATGACAGCAGGGCGATCAGGTGCCTGCCACGACACCAATTGGCACGTAGCTCAATCAACGGGTCTGCCCACAACCAAAACCAAAGCCAATCTCTGTTCAATTACCCACTCACCTTCGAACGTCAGCTCCCCTGTCAGCCGGACAGCTCTTCTTTGTTCTAGCACTTTAAGCAAATGAGTCACCAGCAATTATTATTTCTCTTCTTTTCTTTTCTTTTGTAATGTAATCCAATTCATTCTCCCTACGTATATTTATGATTCTGTTCTGGGGCTGCTCCCACAGTCTGCAAGATCTCCAGAAGTTATGGCTTGTACTGGCAGGTGTCCCATAACTATTATTAGTTTTCGTAGCCTGCAGATACTTTTTCCTCAATGCTTTTAAATAATATTATGGCGTGCTCATCCGGCGAGAAGATTTGTTGGCATCATACCCAATCTTTTTCAACTTACTCTCAATAATAAAATAGTAATAATTACCGAATAGTTTATGTTATATAATTTATTAAATATATTTCTTATAATCGTTCACTTTCTGGCGTAAATATCTGCCCCTTAAATCGCATCTGTAGCTGAGTTGAAAATGTTCAATAAATCGCGCAAACCTTTAGTTTTATTTTTTCATGCATAGCTAAGCGAAGTGTGACCAAAATCGTTTCAGTATACATATCAAAGAGAACACAAGAGCAAACACATCGGATCATCAAGGGGTACTTTGAGCTAGTTAGGTTTCATGAAATTGTTATTCATACCTTTAACAGTTTTATTGTTCGATTAAAAACATTTTTCAAAATGATTTAACTCTGCCCGAAAACTTTTACGTATGAAACCAAAAAAGTTGTTCAGCATTTTTTGGCTTTAATTTTAAATTATATTCACTTTTTTTTTTTTGTGTAATTTGATTCAATTAGTAGTCGTGTGTGTGTGTCTGGAGGGTGGGTTGGAGGGGTTCATGTGTATGGGTTGGGGTGTGAATGAATGCTTGTTAAACTTACATAAGCCCAACGGGCTTCAGATGTTGCAGCTTCCATTTTTCTCTTTTTCTTTTATTTTTTTCTCGCTCTCTCTCTCTCTCGTGCTTTTTCTGCAGCTTAAGCGGACCATTGCCATTGTAACATAACATGTGTGTAGGTCTGTGTGTGTGTGTGTGTGTGTGCGTATGTTTGCTAGTTAAAAGCTTTATGTGGATTATGTTTTTATGGCGCCTGGTCAGGAGTGAAAATCCTGGCGAACTATTTCAGGTCAGTTTTGTGCTGTAACCCTCACGTCCCTCTGGTATTGGCCAATATGCGTGTGCGTGCTAGTACCTTTCTGTGACTATCCTATCTCCAGTGCTATGCACTTGGGACACATGTCCCACTGTCCCACTGAATTAAAGACCAAATTCGTTTTGCTGATCCAACATTTTGATTACGCACCGATGAGAAGCCCCTTAATTTGACAACATTTCAAACTGCAGCTATCACTTGAAGGCATCTGCAATTAGGCACTTTGTTGGTGTTCATTTGCGGAGTTCGATTAGGTGAAGGGGGACCAAGCACAAGTATTCATTAGAAATGCAAACAGTTTTGTTCGCAGTTGACAGTTTTTGTTATGTACCCATTGTACATACATATGTACATATGTATGTGTATAATTCACATACAAAACGAAGTAATCAAAGTTTTTGGCCACAGTTTCTTTTGAGAATGCAGATGCAGATAAACAAAAAAAAAGGAAAAAAAAACAAACAATATTGTGGACGGGGACGCACTTGGGGAATACGTTTCCTTAAATAAACAAAACTTGGATCAAGCGTTGACTCTCTTTATTGAAACCTAAGCCCCACCCTTAATTGCTGAGTCATTGTTGAATAGAGAGAGAGAGAGAGAGGAGAGAGAGAGAGGGAGAGAGAGAGAGTTATGCACAAGACAGAGAGCCTTCTCTATAAACAATTTTGCAGATTTGTTTATGCTATAGTAATCCGATATTGCGTGGTACACATACATATGTACAAATGTACATGTACATGTGTGTATGTATATATGTGTGGGTATCCTTTTGCTTATATCGGAGCTTCGATTATTATCGTATGTAAGCCCTAGTGGCCTAATGGAGAAGGCACCGGATTTCTAATCCGGGGATTGCGGGTTCGAGTCCCGCCTGGGGTTTATGGGTGCATTTTTTTGTATCCATTTTTTGTTCTCATGACTTTAACTCCCAAACTCTTTAATATATTCTTCAGAATTTAATTTATTTTGGTCATGAATTGAAGGGTTTGTTTTAGCGAAATATTTGAAGCTAAGTTCAAAGCTTAGATATGCAGAGATGGCGACATCCAGAGCAGTGCATCGTTGTGTGGGTGCATCTTCCGTTGAATGTGCTGATGGTGGTGGGTTTTGCATCGCTCAAAGAGCTCAAAGAGAGTGGCACTGAGACTGAGAGCAATCTGCAGCTCAGCTAGGGACTTGCCTACTCTTGTAACCCGCTTAACACTTGCCATTTGGGTTCAGTATTCGGTATAGTTTTGAGTCCTTACTTTACTACCCTTTAAACATTGTCTTCATGTAGTTTAACGTGGACTGTAAAATATTTATGCACATCAATTTACGTTCTCGTCGCTCTTCTCTGTTGGCTTTATGTCAAAGAGTCAGCCAATAACATTTTCGCAGCTACACAAAAACTCCATCAGAAATCTTGTCTAACTAACCTTTTCAATGTTATTTTGGGTCAAAAGAAAAAATAGAAACTGACACTTTGCCCTCATTTACACACTCTCTTCGCTCTTCAATGTCCAAAGTTGGTTTCAGAAAACTTTGGCTTGACAACTGCTGATGCTGCTGCTGCTGCTGATGCTGCTGTTGCTGATGCTGCTGTTGCTGCTGTTTTTTATACATTTTACACATTCAGATTTGAATCGTCCCTCCATGGAGCTCCACCAAATAAACGTATTTTTATGCACTGACAGTCATCCATTCCCATTGCCCCACAACAAGTTTGTGAACTTGCAACTTTTTGCGTGGATAAACCAAAAGTTTTTTTCCTCCATTCTGCATTTTGTACAAGAATAATGTTTGGTTTTTATACGCTTGTAAACAGGGTATACGAGAATTGGTCATATGATGCTTAAAGCACCGAGGGAAGTAACTGCAAAGCACCATGGATCAGGACCAAAATCAGGTTAGCTAACTGCTGTATCAGAAGGCCATCTCTGCTTTTGTCGAAGCTCTTAGTTTTGGGATCATCTGGGCTAAAAGTTCGGTGGTTGAATTACAAGGCTAACGAGTGTCTTTCATTTATTTCTGCTTAATTAGATTTCACATTTTGGAGAGCAACAATACTTTTACCCTTCCAAATCGAACTGATAATTGGGTTTATAAATCATGGGGTACCACGCGGCGTATACGCAATGTGTGAATGGAAGTTAAACGAAACCGGAAACTGATCCCAAATGGCAAGAGTAAAGCGGGGGCTACAAATTGATGGGGTGGCACTGGGGTGAAGTATTAAGAATAACCGAATCTGGAGTTGGCCGCATCGCAATCTGTTTTCGTTGCTATAACAACATGGGGTGCGGGTACTGTGGTTGAGGTATGGCCAAAAAGTACAACTACTACAAGTGGATTATGTGCTGTATGTTACTATAATTTCTATATGCATCCGATCAGCAATGGCACTGGTCTACCAAAATCCATATTAAAGCTTAATCTTGGAGGATACATTGCAATCGATGCAACATTTGTGTTGCTTTTACGCTGATATTTTTGTATAATTTCGTACCAATGTGCCAACCCCCCGGTCTAATGAGTCCAAAGTGCAGTCTCTGCTCACACTGTTGGCCCTGTTCTTTTGGCCATCGCCATCGCTAGCGCTATCGGCATCGCCTGCTGTGAAGGCTTCTCATGGCTTTCCCTTACCCGTGTTCGTTTTTCCGGGTATTTTCGGTGGCTTTTGGCTTTTGCCGCCCTTCGGCAGCAGCGAGGGGTACGGTTGATGGGTGGGGTGGTTTGCTGAGCTGCTTATGGCTGGGCGCGGAGGGGGTGTCTCTGTGTGTGTGTGTAGCAGAAAGGGGTCATAATTCATTTCCACATAATTTGACTTGCACACGCGCAACGATGGCAGAGAATGAATGACTGAATGACTGCCATGGCAGATGGGGCATTAAGTGAGCAGAATGAGGAGCTGATAAGGCAAAGAGATGTGGGAGAAAGAGAGAGAGAGAGAGAGAGAGCCACCTGCCTCGAAGCCTTGCCACAGACAGCTGTCACTTAAATTCACTTGGCTGCTGAACACTGCGTCGAAGGGGCATGCTGCAGATCCATATTCGTGGAGCAGGTCCCCGAAGGTGCGCCCCAAAGCGGCAGCCAAAAGGTGCCTGCAAATTGTTAAAAGCTTTTCGCCTTCAATGAATGTTTGCTTGCTTTTCTCTTTATATTCTTTTTTATTGTTTTTACGTCAGTTTTTTGTTTGCGTAACTTGCGGCGCTGCCTTTCAAGTAAGGCAAAAGTGGCATCAACTATTTACAGCATAATGAAAATATATCAAATCAGTGAAATTCAATTGAAAAATGTAATGGCATCGTTCTTGTCTGCGTGCCGACACCAGCCTTGTATACCCTTTTTCTTAGTTGCGTTTTTTTTTTCAATTCTTAAGACAAGATATCGTTCTGACCATTGAGGTGCTTTGTTTCAGTAGAAATCTGAAAAAAAAAAGTCTAACTGATCATGAAACTAGACACTTTGTGATCAAAGCTGGGTTGGCACATACTGTCCGGTCATTTGATCCCATGTTGCCATGCAAATTTTCCAATTAACTGCTGCGCGTGCTCTCATAGAAGAAACGAAGATATTTAAATGAAAGCACTGAGCAGTCAGAGGGTGCAAGCCGATAAGGAGGAAGACAGTAGCAGTTGCAGTTGCAGTGACGTAGATGGCCATCATTGAAACTGTCAAGGGACAAAGTGACTGAACAATTGACACACTCTCGTCTCGTGTCTCGCTCTGCATTGTCCCCAGTCCACAGTTCCTAGTTCCTTGGTCTTGCAGTCTCGATTCATTCAATAAAATGTACGACTTGATGAGACACACAAGCACACAGACCCACAGACACAGAAAGGGGGGAAGAGATGGTGAGAACGAGAGCTATGGCTGGGGTAAGAAAAAGAGTAAAGGAGATGGAGAGAGGCATTAAATATTTTGCAACTTTGCCCTTCCTTGATGATGGCCACACAAAACTTCAATGCACAAAAGCTATGAAAAAAATATGTGACCAGAGAACATTAAATTTATATGCATTTGCATCGCTACTCGGTACTCGGTACTTTTATTTGCATGCCACCTCCGCCCACTCAGCCCATGGGGCATGTCGCTGACGTGACACTGCATTAAGGATAATGTTGATCATCAATTTTTTCGGGCACCTGAATAATGAGCCACTGAGTCGAGCGACTGATGGCATTGTTGCATGCCTGCCGTTGGCTGCAAAAACTGGAAATTTGTGTACGAAATAATATAATGGAACGAATTTCGAATGGGTGGCACGGTAGTCTCAAGATAACACGATTTTGTACATGCCACAAATGGGCATATTGCATATTTTTAGAGTATTCTTCTGTGTGTGCAGAGACACATTAAAATTGAATTGAATTGAAAAGTTTCTCGATCATTAACACACTTGTGGATTTGTGCTAGTAAATTGTGGGAAATATCAGTGGAAGCTGGAACAAATTAATCATACAGCAAAATGTACTTTGACTTTACAGAGGGAATCATTTACGATAATAAGTTTATCTCTGGATACACCTCCCTCACACGTTCAACAATAAGAAAGTATGCCCTTTCTATTCGAGTCGTTGTGTCACTACCTGTTCACTTATTCACTTATTCAGTTTCAAATACGTAGTAGGTACCTAAAGTATTAGAATCAACATCCAAATTTACGGAAAAAGTTTTGATTTAATTCCGATATTATTTTGTGAGGATGTCCGTCGCCGGTAATTATGATTCAGTCCACTACAGCGCCCACTTCAACTTCATACAGGACTTTCGGGAAACCTTCGCCAATGATGGCCTGTGTGCAATGGAGTTGATTAATAATGCCGCCGATGCCTGGCAGGGGTTAACACGCATAGAAAAGAACAAGTTCGAGAGGGTAAGACGCATTAAGCAGTTCATTTTGTTGGGTCCTAAATGGGCTTATCCCGTGTCTTCCTTCCCATAGAAACAATACCTGGCGGCTCGCAAAGATGAATTGAATCGTGTGAAGAACGGAGAGTCCATGTCTGTGCTGTGGGAGCAGCAGAAAAAAGAATTCCGCGAGTTGGCACTACGCGGACAGTCCAATTACAGGGTGAAGTACGGGGAGGTCAAGTTTCGATGGGGAAATAACAATTTTGAGGGAGACGGGGACCAGTTCAATGGTGACGGGGACCAGTTCAAGGGGGACGATTCCTCGTTGTTCAAAAATAAATCCTGTCTATGCAGCATCTTGGGCATGTTCCTGGGCAAGTGTCGTTCAAAGCAACATGCCCCGAAATAATAATAATTATTTTAAATTAAATAATTTGTTGTCAATTTTTCTTTTTTTTTTTGGTGGTGCTGAGCTCTGACTGGAAAGTAAAGTTATCTTTGAGAATGAATATACATACATACATATGTACATATATTGGAAAATTAATAATGATCTGCAAAATTCCTGGCATATGTAATATTTTCTTTCATTTTGAATATTACGTTAAAGTCAATTCGAATTTCAAGTGGCCAGAGAAATATTCCTGTCATGAGAAACTTTTTTTTTCCAGCAACTGCTTATAATAATAATCTTTTTGGCACGCATCAAGCTGCAGCCTTTTTTCACAGGCCCATCGATCAAGGACCCAATCGTTCCATCAGTCAGTCTGTGTGTTCGTCTCCAGTCAACTCGGTGGACGAAACTTTTTTGGCTTTTGTTCGGAACATTTGTCAAAATTTGCCCTAAATATGGCTGCAATTGTATAACTGCCGCTGACAGCGGTTAAGGCGGAGAGCATTTACCCATGATTGAGTTCAGTTGGGGGAGAAAATACACAAGACATTTATTCGGGGCGGAATTTGGAAATACACTTGTAGCAGTGTGATATCACATGAGTCTGGAAACAAAATTTGGTTGCCCTAGCTTTAATAGTTTCTGAGAACAAGGCGACAAACAAGACGGACGGACGGACAGACATAGACCCGGCTATTGATGCTGATCAAGAATATATACATTCTTTATGGGGTCAGAAACGTTTCCTTCTCTTTGTTACACATACACTTTTACCACAAACCTAATATACCCCTTTAATTTTCGAGTACGGGGTAGCAAAAAATGGCGGCAGTGTAAATGGAAAATGGTCTGGTCCGAAAGTCTGACGCTGCACGCGCGAGCGAGAGAGAATGCTGATGTGCTCTGCTGGCAGCTATATATCGCTCTCATTCTAACATATACAAATTAATGCTGTACCGACCTGTTCAGGGCCGGCCCATCAATCTGGGCCCCTCCTTTTTTCACGCCAGTTCCCTTCTTTTTTCATTTAATATAAACAAAATAATAAATTTTATGTTTGTTTGATTATTTTATTTTTTATTTTTCTCAGGGGCTGTTATATTTTGTATTCATTATTTGGAGTTTGGTTTTTTTAACAAATGTTTCTGTCGGCCCTAGGTGGGGCCCTAGGCAACTGCTAGTCCGGCCCTGGACCTATTTCTGTCGTCAGACTTCATATTCTGTTGCTGTGTTCTGTCGCTCGACTCGTCGCGGGCCGAGGCATTGCCGAAGACGAACGCACAGGCAAAGGCTAGCCTAAAAGAGAATTTCAGAAATGGCTCCGCGCGCTCGTACCGAGAAACGACAAACGAAAATTGCAACATCTTGGTATTCTTTGATATTATACATATGTACATATACATATATTTCTGTATATCTACCCTCGGCTAGCTCGGTCCGCTCCCATCTATGTATATCTCTTTTTTTCGTGTTGCTATCAACATACATATGAACGACGCGACGTCAGTGCTGTCAAAATTGTATTATAGTATAAATAAAAAACTAAAAAATCAGAAATAAAAAAAGCTTTTTTTCCGACATACCTCAAATACCTAACTACCTCAAATAAGCTAAAATGGCAGCACTGATGTATATTTAAGGGGTGGGTTTACTCTTTAAGAGTGAGAGAGATACATACATCGGATGTCTCTGTGTGTGTGTCTTTATGTGTGTTTGCTCCTGCTTATAATGCTATAATAATATAATAATACTTTTTATTTATGCAAATATACTCTAATTCTTTTTGCATGATCATTTAATATTATTTATTAAAAATGTATGTTACGACCAATGAGAGAGAGAACGAGAGCGTATATATACTATATAAATACATAGAACAAATATAAATGGTCCCTGTCACGTGAGAAATGTAGTGAATACAAAAACAGAATCGATATGTATCTAATATATATGTTTAACATATTTACATATATTTATAACAAATAAATCATCGTGACGCACACGTGTTCCTTTAGCAAAAAATCGGCACGAAAAACAGTTTATTAGCGCAAGAAACTGACGATCAGATTGCGTCCAGAGTACCCCAAAAACAATCCAAACTACGATACAATACGCATCAAAATCACTAGCCATGTGCGTTCACCAGAACTATCGTAGGAAATCCATCGATGTGCGCCGATCGAGTTGTCCTGTTGAATGCGCCAAACATGTGATTATGGCTCTAAAACACAAACACATCCATAGCTGTAAAATTAACTTAAAAATCATATAAAGTCCACATTCGATGAATCGGTTATAAATAACCCATAGATTAAATATAATAAAATCATTAAGAAAAATAAAACAATAATATTTTGTATTGGAAATATTCATTTTCGTGCCGGGTTGGGTCGTGCCGTACCTGCCATCCCTAGAAGACATGCCCATCCCTAGTACATATGCACATGGGCGTTGCTTCCCATACCATCGCATTCACATACATGTTATGTGTTGTCTGGCGGCGCAGCTGCGAGCTGCTTTTCGTATAAAAGGGCCGACGCAAGCGGGCCTGGGCGTCATTATTTTAAGTTGCTCACCCAGGTCGGACCATTTTCTCCACCTCATACTCATTAATATTTTTCTTAAACTAACTTGAATATGTTTGGTATTCTACCAACTAAGTAGACTTTTTTTATTTTATATTTGATAAATCAAAGTCGCCCAGAGCAATTAAGATATTCGGGTTTGGTGAAGTTCTCCCAATCTCCCAAGTTTTTCCACCAATACCAATTCCTATTTTTACACCCGAACAGGGGCCGTTTCAGCCGTGCAGTAGGCTGATTTGCTTTGGAAATGTCAGTTATCCGACATATGACAGAATTCTCGATTTTTCTTTGGCTATCTTTGCCTGGGGCATTTCTTTGTTTTCCTCTCCATCTCTATGGTGACTGGCGAAGACCGATCGTCGCCTGGTCCACACGAACCATGCGGTAGTTGGATGACTTATTTTGCGATATACGACCAGCTGGTAGAGAGAGGAGCAGTTCCCAAAAACAAATTAAATAACCATTTCTGGTCAAGCGGGAATTCTGTGCAATTCCGTTTCTGACGTATTAATGGCTTTGGGAACTCTCCATCGTTTGTTAGTTCGTTATCATAGATGGTGTGGTCTCTGGGAACAAAGCTGAAACTGCAGCTGATTTTTTGTTGTGTTTGTGGAAGGAGCTTCTTCATAGCCTCCTTGCATCGTGAAAATATCGAACGTATCTCCCTCTTCCATCTCGAGGGATGTGGGGGTATCCGTAGGTCTGATGCGTGTCCCTTCGAATTGGCCGTTTCAGCCGTGCAGTCCGTTTCTGACGAGGGCTTGATAATTCGCCATCATTAGACAATTCGCCTTCATAAATAGGTATGGGTCCGTCATTCAGACCAAGCTGGGGCTTAAACTGGAGGTGAAGTTGCAGAATTTTTGCCTCATTTATAGCAAATATTTCCATGAGGAAAGTTTCGGGTTCTTTTAAACACCGGATTTTATTTCTTTTTGATATGTGCTAGTACCCTTTTAACGCACACATGAAGTAAACAAAAATCTCACTTTTTATATTTTAATACATTTTGCTTAAAACCATTTTGCTTAAATAATTTAAGTTTTTTTATTTTATTGTGGCTTGGACGTACGCAATAGCTGTGAAATGAGCGCACCCATTTACTGCATGCCTGCAAATTGCCGGCGATCCGAAACTTCCAGCAGAAGGGATCCCAGCCTTTCTAAACTAAACAAAGTACATTGGGTTTTTTGAACACCGGATTTTCTTTCTTTTATATTCGATAATGGATAGCCTCTTCATCGCCTCTCTGTATCGTGAATATATCATATCCACCATCCATATCACCCTCTTCCATCTCGAGGGATGTTGGGGGTATCCGTAGGTCTGATGCGTGTTCCTTCGAATTGGCCGTTTCAGCCGTGCAGTCCGTTTCTGATCCCAGCCTTTCTAAACTAAACAAAGTACATTGGGTTTTTTGAACACCGGATTTTCTTTCTTTTATATTCGATAATGGATAGCCTCTTCATCGCCTCTCTGTATCGTGAATATATCATATCCACCATCCATATCACCCTCTTCCATCTCGAGGGATGTTGGGGGTATCCGTAGGTCTGATGCGTGTTCCTTCGAATTGCCCGTTTCAGCCGTGCAGTCCGTTTCTGACGCCGCATAGCTGGCCCCCTCCCGCCAAACCACAGAAGGGATCCCAGCCTTTCTAAACTAAACAAAGTACATTGGGTTTTTTGAACACCGGATTTTCTTTCTTTTATATTCGATAATGGATAGCCTCTTCATCGCCTCTCTGTATCGTGAATATATCATATCCACCATCCATATCACCCTCTTCCATCTCGAGGGATGTTGGGGGTATCCGTAGGTCTGATGCGTGTTCCTTCGAATTGGCCGTTTCAGCCGTGCAGTCCGTTTCTGATCCCAGCCTTTCTAAACTAAACAAAGTACATTGGGTTTTTTGAGCACCGGATTTTCTTTCTTTTATATTCGATAATGGATAGCCTCTTCATCGCCTCTCTGTATCGTGAATATATCATATCCACCATCCATATCACCCTCTTCCATCTCGAGGGATGTTGGGGGTATCCGTAGGTCTGATGCGTGTTCCTTCGAATTGGCCGTTTCAGCCGTGCAGTCCGTTTCTGACGCACGCAATAGCTGTGGAATGAACGCGCACCCATTTACTGCATGCCTGCAAATTGCCGGCGATCCGAAACTTCCAGCAGAAGGGATCCCAGCCTTTCTAAACTAAACAAAGTGCATCGGGTTTTTTTGAACACCGGATTTTCTTTCTTTTATTCGTTATTGGATCTTCATAGCCTCTCTGTATTGTGAATATATCCATCATATCTCCCTCTTCCATTTCCAAGGAAGTTGGAGTATCTGTCAGCATGATGCGAGTCCCATTGAATTGATATCTTCACATCGACAATGGCATGCCTAGTTCTTCGTAAAAATATATTATCAGTATGTTCGGCACATGTGCATTGAAATATT